TGCCGTAACTTCTCCACTGTAGCTCAACCCCTAACTAGGTTGATAAGTCCCAAGGTGGAATATGTTTGGACCCCTGAGTGCCAACATGCATTTGAGTGTGTAAAGACACTTTTGAGTCACGCTCCTGTGCTCGCTGCTCCCGATCTTGCGAAGCCCTTTAAACTCGAGGTGGATGCTAGTGCAGTGGGGGCCGGTGCTGTTTTACTGCAGGAAGATGCGGCGGGAGTTGATCATCCTGTCTGCTATTTCTCCCGTAAGTTCAACAAACACCAGGTACGCTACTCTACCATTGAAAAGGAGACCCTTGCTTTGTTGTTAGCTCTCCAGCACTTTGAGGTTTATGTCGGGTCTAGTTCTTTGCCGGTTGCAGTGTTTACCGATCATAACCCCATTGTCTTTTTGTCCCGCATGTACAACCACAATCAGCGTCTCATGCGGTGGGCTCTGATCGTTCAGGACTACAACCTGCGAATCCGACACAAGAAAGGCTCAGAGAACGTGTTCGCAGATGCTCTGTCCAGACTGGAGTGATGTGTTCTGTGGTCATGGTGTGTGATGTATTATGGTTCACAAAAACCCTGTGGGGTTTGTGTTTTAAGGGGGGGGTGTTACAGCCGCTGCTACCTTGTGAGCTTAAGTCTGTTTGTGTATGTAAATGAGCTGTGCAGTTCCTCTGCTGTCATTGGCCGTCCGGACCGCTCAACATCCGCGGGGATTGGACAGACGTCGCCCAACCCCTGCTCGCTTCTGCCACGTCATCCGGGGGAGGAGTATAAAGGCTGAGCACGGACAACAGTCGGGAGGCTCTGTATTTTGTGTCAGATGCCTCAACCCTATCCTTGTGATAAGCCTTCATTCTGTGAATTCTGAGAGTATTTAGCCGTGTGTCTTTGGTATTAGCTCCACTGATTAGCAGTGTCTGTAGTAGGGTTCTAGGCGAGCACACTGAGTAGCAGTGTGTCGTCGGGTTCTGTGTTAGCGTAGGGATTTTGTGTGTGTTTATACTGCTTAGATCCAGGTTGGTTAGCACCTGTCGACCAGCATTCCTGTGTGTTTATACTGCTTAGATCCAGGTTGGTTAGCACCTGTCGACCAGCATTCCTGTGTGTTTTTACTGCTTAGATCCAGGTTGATTAGCACCTGTAGACCAGCGTTCCTGTGAGTGGATATTGCGTAGAGCCAGGTGATTAGCACCTGTAGACCCGCACCAGCTGTGTGTTTCCACAGTCCCGTTTTGTTTATTGTTTGTTTCCACTTTAGTAGTGAGATTTGTTTTTCTTTGTGTAGCGGGGCAACTCTCTTTTGGAGACCCTTTGTGTTGTGTTATAGTGACAGATTGACCCGTGTTGTGGGGCCAATCTGTGTGACCATCATTTTACTTAGTTTCAGTCATAAATAAAACCACCGGTAACAAATATACCAAATCCAATCTGGTCGTGTCGTTTCCCGTTTGTACCCTAGCCAAGTGGGAACGTAACAGACATGAAGAAGAGGGGACTCATGTTGATGTAGAAGAGACATGAAGAAGAGGGGAAACATGTTGATGTAGAAGAGACATGAAGAAGAGGGGACACATGTTGATGTAGAAGAGACATGAAGAAGAGGGGACTCATGTTGATGTAGAAGAGACATGGAGAAGAGGGGACACATGTTGATGTAGAAGAGACATGAAGAAGAGGGGACACATGTTGATGTAGAAGAGACATGAAGAAGAGGGGACACATGTTGATGTAGAAGAGACATGAAGAAGAGGGGACACATGTTGATGTAGAAGAGACATGAAGAAGAGGGGACACGTGTTGATGTAGAAGAGACTTGGAACATTTTGCATAATAGGTGGCCTTTAATGGGTGTTTTCTAATCTAATTCCCTCCGGGCTTTACCTTCTCCACCAGGTTCTTGTCCGTCTCCTGGATGCTGGTGTCGGGGACGGGTTTCTCTGAGAAGCCGATGGGGTAAACGACGTCTCCCTGACCGCCCTGACGGTCACCACGAGTCCTGCAACACAGAGAGTTTCGCTTTATTCCATGAGAACGACTGTTACTCTTTTTTTAAAGTTGAGAGACATAGGCGTGGATGGACTGGCTGAATTAAGAACTCAAACAGGAAGTCTGAGGCACTTATTCTTACAAGTGTACATTTCATTTCATATCCTTTTTATTTGTTCCGTTCATGGCATGTACAACTTAATGTATAACAATTATTTACAAAACATGTCTCTATAAACACACCATACCCGAAAAGGAGCAGGGAGAAGAAAGTAATCTTATATTACCTGCCCCTTTCTCAAAATAAAGAAAGAAATAGAAATAGATGGTCTGTATGTTACATTACATTACTTCAGTGCTTCTCAAAGTGTGGTCCGCGGACCACTGGTGGTCCGTGAGTATATTGGTAAAATTTCACATTTGAAATAAATAAAAGTTTTCCGCACTCTCGCGGGAATATCTCGGCAATGGAGCGAGGTTAAGTTTCACTTTCAATTGCATGATATAGCCCAGCGCAACACCTTCATCACACATGTTGCCACTAGTTTGTACCATTTTCAGGCGATTTGTAATCTGTTCTAGAAAAACGTATATATATATATTTGTGGAGTTAGGTGGTCCACGAGTGTTTTTTTATTGGTTAAGTGGTCCTTGGTATGAAAAAGTTTGAGAAACCCTGCATTACATCACATGTCACTTGTTAGACGCTTTTATCCAAAGCGACTTACATACTCAATACTGTGGGCAATCCCCACAGGAGCAATTTGGGGTGAAGTGTCCCAGGGACACAACGACATGCTGACTGCAGTGGGGTTTGAACCTGTGACCCTGATCCGAACACCAACGCACAACCCACTGCACCACACGCCTCCCATGTTCATATTTTCTTATTCACAGGCAATCATAAGAGTGTCGTAGGAAAGTAAGAGAAACACAAAAATTTACAAAAAAATACTTAGTTCCCACTTGACAGCTGACGGAAAGAAACAAAACAACAACACAAAAACATCACATGTACAAGGAGTAGTACATGATTGTTCTGTGTGTCAGACAAAGTCTTATATAGTTTCAAATGTTACACAGAGTATTATTTCCGCTTTAAGTGTGTCTTTAGACTTCCTGTATGTCAGTATTGAGTAGCCTATTAGATATATTATTGCAGGTGTTTGTTTACCTGCTGTTGCCCATGCTCAGCTCCAGAGCCCACTTCATCCTCCTGGCTCCGCCTCCTCTCGTCGATAGAGCTCCTCCACCTTGTCCCCCTGGAGACGCCATGGCAACCCGCTTTACTGCTGGACCTCAGAGACAGAAAGCAGCTATATAGACAGAATAAGAAAAACAAACAAGTTAGACTGGAATAAACTGTAAAAATATAGTAGTTCAGTTATAATAACAGATATGGCTATTCTTCGGGCCATTGCCAAAAGGAATTGAATATACAACCATTGCATATATTTACGTGTGCAATATAACATATGCTTTCAACAAAATAATAGGATTAGAATCAGTAACAAATCCAGTTTGCTGTCTGCTGTAAAAATTGAGCTTGTCACTGACTTTAATCCTAGTTTTTCCAGTTGAAAGCATGCATATATATTATATATTACAACACATATATTATAAGTCATAACTAGCATTCTTTGACTTTGTTTATCCTGATGTTTTCATATATAGTCCGTTTTTATACCTTGGATACACAATTCCAGTAGTATGTTTATTATTAAAATGACAATTACGTGTATTACATATATTTGGGAAATGCTTTCATTGTTTTGCACCTTCAATCACGACAACAACATATCATACTGTTGTTTACCTCCAAAATACGGAGTTGTAAATATGTTAATAACATAAGGTAAAATGTCTTACGTTAAATACAATTCACTTAATTGAATCTCGCTCCGTTGGACGAATTAAAATGCCACAAGGAGGCTGCCATAAGCAAAGTGTAATGATAATAATGAAGCTGATGCAACTGTGCAATCTTCTTTAATACAATACAACGTTAGCATGACAGTACAAATCGAAAAAAAACGACATTAAATCGTGTTAACACGATGCAAATGATGATGCTATCAACACTTCGTCGTTGTTGTGAACTCAAACAGGAAGTTATATCTAAAATAAATGTAACACACTGTCACTGCACATTCATCTTACCTTATAAGAGCATCCAAAACACTGCTATATGGTTTATTTATCGTATTTTTTGATGAAATTAGTGAAAATGTAGCTTGCTGTTCTGGGGAACAAATCGACCATTCGTCACTCACTGTTTCCGGGGCACGCAAAGGTTACGCTGCATCCGGATATTGCGTCACGATTATTTCTGTTACAAACATGCTTTAAAAAAAAAAAATTGTACAGAACAACATAGCTTTCAGATATTTCACAATATAATAAAAACGAACAGGAGTATATATATCATATCGTTTCTTTAAAACTAATGAATAATATCTTGTTTATTTTCTTCTACTTATTGTAATCTGGAAACAACTTTCATATTATTCTAAATTAAGGTTTTTTATTGTGTTATTTTTAACTTTAATTTGGTGTAATTGTTTGTATGTGCCGTATTGTACCTTGTTTGTACAGGGTATATGCAGGAATCCTGAAGTCAAATGTAAGACCTTTTTTAAGACACTTTCAGACCTCATCGCCACTTTGAGTTTTAACCGGTTACCTTGGCGACACACTTTACCTCACATTGACTATATACAGTATTGATTGTCCTTCCTCCTTATCTTCCAACCATTTGGACGCAGACTTGCCTTTCCCCATAACGATGTTGCTTAGCAACCGGCGTAAACGGACCTTCGCGCTATCAAGCAGTGAGCGCGCGATGTCCTGTTCAGATGACGTCAAACCCAACGGGATGCCATAAATAAACTACACAGAATCACACTACACACCTACGCCATGATTACATTCAGGCAGACTGTAGAACACAACCTCTTTGGACCATTTATATACTTATTGAAAACAAGCTACAGAATGTAATACCTTGGAAAATGCCGGTTAATACTTTAATACCCCGCGGACACCCTGTTGCAGCTTGCAGAGACATTTCAATGACAAAGAGAAATATAAACAAACTAGAATAGCATCAAAGCATTTATGTTTCTGTACAATGTCCCCATTGTTTGTAGCTGTACTATACTATATTAAACAACCTGTAAACAGTACAAACATTTTAAACATCTCTGTGCAATCTTGACAGTCACACTGACGTGTAAATGAAGCAGTGCAAATTAGAATTGAAAAGTGTGTTATATGATACAGAAAGTTATTAACAGTGTGAGCAAATATTAAGGCACAGGTAAACTCAGGAGTAAAAAAACAGTTCTGCAACCCATCAGACGAACACATCATTAAATACATACAGTAAGTGCACTTAAACTGCAGGCTGTTTGTTCATTAGGCACATTGGATCATGCTGGTCTCAAGGACGTTGAGCCCATTGTCATATTTGAGATGAAAATCGCTGATCACAAATACATACATAGGTCCTAAATGCATTTTCAGATTAGAGAGAGCAACTCGTCCAATTTGATGAAAAATAAATACACAACTGTCTTTTGAAATACGCAGAAAGTAAAAAAAAAAGCACTTGAGGTGATAACTCTGTTTTCTATCCAAGAAGCCGGGAATTGCATTCTGTATCTGCTTTTCCAGCACAAGAAAACAAATGAATACAAAGTAACATCAATATAAGTACATCGTACACAACAAATATACTTGGAACTAGAATCACCGGGTATTTATTTTTCAGGAAATTGTAGGCGCAGACTGAGGCTTGAGTCTCGAAGAGGCATTTTACTGCATAGTGCGAACAGGGCGAGAAACAGACAAGTTAATGATTGGTTCATAACTCACAGGAGAAAGTAACAAGGGCTCTGAATATCATTACTCCAAAGTTAATATTCTGCATTAGAAACTATAGCTGAGGAGAAAATGTTCGGCTGTACAGTGTTTTGTTCCACGCTCAGATCAGTGTGTGTGTGTGTGTGTGTGTCACTTGTACAGGCTGAGATCGGGGCTGTGGTACAGACACATGTAGGAGTCACACAGCAGGCGGCGGGCCGACTCCCGTATGGAGGCGGGATCAACTCTGCTCAGCTCCTGCTCTGATAGGCTGAGGAAGCGGCCCACCTCCGGACACGCCTTCACATGGGGGATGTTGAAGCCGTTCTGCTCACCTGGGTGAGAGAAAATACAGTTTAATAGTGTTTTTTAAATTTTGGATCACATTTCAACTTCAGTGTACATATGTAGTTAAATAGTTTTAGTTTTTGAGTGGTCCGTATTTTTTATTTTTGTTGACAAAACAACAACAATAAGCACACAAGAACATGGGGTGTTTTCTTTTCAATATAAAACATTGACAGATCATTAAATAAAAGATTCAAACAGTTAAACAAAAGAAGGGCGCATCGGGGGAATATTTAATTTCATAAATGATATCGTATCAATCATCTATAGATGGGCTGTTTGGTTTGAGCCATTTCTTTGTGATTGCTTTCCTCGCAGCTACACTCAACATCCTAAATAAGTATTTCGTTTTAACAGTGCGTTTTTTTTATAGTTTTTTGTATCATAATGTACTTCAGGGAGGGTCTCTTACCTTCCCGGTCTGCCATACTGTCAAAAAACATCCAGTCGGTGGGGAGGGGTCCGTGTTTGACGAAGCTAACGTAATGGCTGGTTTCGATGCACGTCACCGCAAAGAGAGACATCCGCTGCCGGGCGCTCAGCAGGGGGCCGGTCCACGGACCCCCGGGGACAGCAACATCTACAGGGTGGTGGGACGCACGCTTCCTGTGACTGTGGACCTGAGGAAAGAAATACACATATGATATGTTTCTTGTCTCTATGTTATTGTACCTTATTAATAGAAACATTAAGACTGAGGGAAAGTGTTCCACATCAACCTCCTTATTATTTTGTAAGAAATACAAAAACACACTCCAAATAACGTCAGCAAACAATCCACTGCAGCCACAAAGGCTTTAAAAATAATAAGTAACACAAATAAATATAATGTCATTTAGCACCAGAATGTTATGAATGCACAGGATCCAGTAGTTTGCCCATGCATTGGTCCTGTAGCACATCATATCCTTTAAACCTGCAAATCCTTCTTGTTAGAGTCAGATCTAAGGTTAGAGGTGGGTACCTGTGTGTTGCAGGTGCTGCAGTACTGTTTGAGACGCCCGGGGGTGATGTCGGGGTCTTCGTAACACTGCAGACACTCCCACTCAGCCACAGCCTGACAGATACTGCACTGCCTCAGAGCTAGAGGGACAAAAACACGTCAGTTAAAAAGGAAACTAGATGAAGTCCACAAAAACTCATGTGAATGTAGCCAGTTCTTCTGCACAGGTGACACTTAAATACATTCATCTGATTACAAATAAAACCAGGTCTGAATAGAGTGGTGCAGGAATGAGTCCTAAAGCTTGGATGAGTCAGCGTTTTACTACTTCTGGTTCCTAGTCTTGAAGCCAACGTAAGCTTTTTACTTCTCGTGATTGCATTTACGCTCCAAAAATCAGAAATGTGTGTTTGCCAAAGATCTTACAATTCCAAAATCCGTGAGGAACCCCTTAAGATGCTAACTTACGAGTCAGACAAAAAACGTCATCACTGCACCACTATACTCAATTAACAAACTAAAATGCTAATAATAATAAAATAATATTGGTTATTTCCCCAAAATGGCCCTTACTGTCGTCCAGCAGGTCTGTGATGTCGAGGCTGAGGGTGGGGAGGATGGCGTCAAACATTTTGAAGTCCTTTCCAAAGCGAGGCATGAGCAGTAAGAGGCAGGAGGGAGCCTGGTGGGGGGGGGGGACATTGAATACACTTTAATCTCAAAAGTAATTTATTTGAAAGGTCACCTATTATGCAAAATCCTCTTCTTCATGTCTCTTCTACATCAACAAGTGTCCCCTCTTCTTCATGTCTCTTCTACATCAACATGTGTCCCCTCTTCTTCATGTCTCTTCTACATCAACAAGTGTCCCCTCTTCTTCATGTCTCTTCTACATCAACAAGTGTCCCCTCTTCTTCATGTCTCTTCTACATCAACATGTGTCCCCTCTTCTTCATGTCTCTTCTCCATCAACATGTGTCCCCTCTTCTTCATGTCTCTTCTCCATCAACATGTGTCCCCTCTTCTTCATGTCTCTTCTACATCAACATGTGTCCCCTCTTCTTCATGTCTCTTCAACATCAACATGTGTCCCCTCTTCTTCATGTCTCTTCTACATCAACATGTGTCCCCTCTTCTTCATGTCTCTTCAACATCAACATGTGTCCCCTCTTCTTCATGTCTCTTCTCCATCAACATGTGTCCCCTCTTCTTCATGTCTCTTCTCCATCAACATGTGTCCCCTCTTCTTCATGTCTCTTCTACATCAACATGTGTCCCCTCTTCTTCATGTCTCTTCTCCATCAACATGTGTCCCCTCTTCTTCATGTCTCTTCTACATCAACATGTGTCCCCTCTTCTTCATGTCTCTTCAACATCAACATGTGTCCCCTCTTCTTCATGTCTCTTCTACATCAACATGTGTCCCCTCTTCTTCATGTCTCTTCTCCATCAACATGTGTCCCCTCTTCTTCATGTCTCTTCTCCATCAACATGTGTCCCCTCTTCTTCATGTCTCTTCTACATCAACATGTGTCCCCTCTTCTTCATGTCTCTTCTACATCAACATGTGTCCCCTCTTCTTCATGTCTCTTCTCCATCAACATGTGTCCCCTCTTCTTCATGTCTCTTCTCCATCAACATGTGTCCCCTCTTCTTCATGTCTCTTCTACATCAACATGTGTCCCCTCTTCTTCATGTCTCTTCAACATCAACATGTGTCCCCTCTTCTTCATGTCTCTTCTACATCAACATGTGTCCCCTCTTCTTCATGTCTCTTCTCCATCAACATGTGTCCCCTCTTCTTCATGTCTCTTCTCCATCAACATGTGTCCCCTCTTCTTCATGTCTCTTCTACATCAACATGTGTCCCCTCTTCTTCATGTCTCTTCTCCATCAACATGTGTCCCCTCTTCTTCATGTCTCTTCTACATCAACATGTGTCCCCTCTTCTTCATGTCTCTTCAACATCAACATGTGTCCCCTCTTCTTCATGTCTCTTCTACATCAACATGTGTCCCCTCTTCTTCATGTCTCTTCTCCATCAACATGTGTCCCCTCTTCTTCATGTCTCTTCTCCATCAACATGTGTCCCATCTTCTTCATGTCTCTTCTACATCAACATGTGTCCCCTCTTCTTCATGTCTCTTCTACATCAACATGTGTCCCCTCTTCTTCATGTCTCTTCTACATCAACATGTGTCCCCTCTTCTTCATGTCTCTTCTACATCAACATGTGTCCCCTCTTCTTCATGTCTCTTCTACATCAACATGTGTCCCCTCTTCTTCATGTCTCTTCTCCATCAACATGTGTCCCCTCTTCTTCATGTCTCTTCTCCATCAACATGTGTCCCCTCTTCTTCATGTCTCTTCTACATCAACATGTGTCCCCTCTTCTTCATGTCTCTTCTACATCAACATGTGTCCCCTCTTCTTCATGTCTCTTCTACATCAACATGTGTCCCCTCTTCTTCATGTCTCTTCTACATCAACATGTGTCCCCTCTTCTTCATGTCTCTTCTACATCAACATGTGTCCCCTCTGTGGAAAGAGACTCTGAAAGTTTCAGGAACAAAGATTCTCTCTCTTTTTGTCCTGATCCATTTCTATAAAAACCTGTCTGAAAATGAGCTGATCAGATTTTGGCCACTTGGCAACCAAGGTAACCCCCCCCCCCCCCCCCCCCTTATCACCTGAATCTCCTCCTAGAGCACCATTGAGTTCTTTGTAACCAAATATCTCTCAGAGGGGCGTGGGGAGGGGCTCCTTATTTTCATCTAAAGTAACAGACAGAGAATCAGCACTTTGGAAACAGGGCTGAAACAGAGGGGATTATGGGAAGATCTGTTTGGTGTGTCTACCTCGACGAATTTGAGGCCAGCGTGGAGGAAGGAAGACTCCAGCAGCGTCTGGACACTCGCTACTCTCATCCGACTGGGCGAGGGCGGGGCCAGAGGGATGGGGGAGCCGATGGGGGAGATGAGTAAAGGTGAGGTGGGAGAAGGAGGAAGTGTAGGCGGGAAGAGCTGGTACAGGTGACCCTCCTGAGGCTGCTGAGTCATCGATCTGTAAGAAGGACAGAGAGAATTTGAAGATTTCATGAAGAGTGTATTGATGCCTTAAAACGTGTAAAAACGTGTTTAGATGCTTCAACAGGTCATGTGATGCAGTTATTGGAAATACAACATTAATGGAGAGTCTGTCAATCATTTTTAAACTGCTTTTAGAAGATTCAAACTCAGATGTGGAGAAAAGATGACAAAAGAAAGCTGAATAATTAAGATTCTTTACACTTATGAATGTTCTGGTTAACACATATTGTACTAAAAGCTCAAATACACGCATGGTGACATTTTTCGCTGGAACCTTGAACTGTATTCAACTTAGAGGCCTGCATTATAAGAGAAACAACTGGCGTGTGTGACAGTGAAGCAGGGTGTGTGTGTGTGTGTGTGTGTGTGTGTGTGTCCGTTGTGTTACCTGATCTTGAGGAGCGGCTCGACTTGGAGGAGCTGGAAAAGCTTGTTGAGGAACTCCTCAGGATCTGACGGACAGAACAACATTCCTCAGTGAAAACACACACACACACACACACACACACACACACACACACACACACACACACACACACACACACACACACACACACACACACACACACACACACACACACACACACACACACACACACACACACACACACACACACACACACACACACACACACACACCACACACACACACACACACACACACACACACACACACACACACACACACACACACACACACACACACACCTTTCTCCTGGTTGGTGAAGCCCATGTTGCTGTTGGCGGCCTCCAGCAGTCGCCGCAGGGCCATCGTCTTACTGGCACACACGTAGCCATACCTTAAAAGCACACAGATGTTTGAGCCTGGTATTTAACACACTCATAGTATCTTCTGATCTGCCAGAAGGTTTATAACGGATCTGTGTCAAATGTTTAATACTGGAATGTACAAGGGCATATTGCAGGGAAGAAAGGGAACTTGGGGGTAATATTCCAAGAGAAAACGTAGAAGGTCTGGGAACAAAGTCGATAATGAATGAGAGGAAAACTTGGATGTTCTCTGATATTAAAGACAAACTCACACATTTAGAAAAGGCAAAAACTTCAATTTCAGATAATGTCATAAATTCTGTGATTGTTAGATTTATAAATGTAATCACAGTTTTATCCCCCTCTCCAAGCACATGTCAGTCTGTCAGTGTCACATAACAAGGTATACGGTACATTTAATCATGTAGTAGCAGTAGCAATCTCAGTAGAAGAACTAGCAGTATTCGTAGTTATACGGATGATTGTTAGTGTATCACCACCAGTAGCAAATACAATTGTAATATGACTGTTCTTGTGGTATTCATAAAGAGACATTGACCCACCTTCTCAGCGGGTTGACGATCTCGCAGCGCAGCAGGTCCTGGGCCAGGCTGGAGTCGCTGTCGGGGTCCGAGGGCCAGAACAGAACCCAGTCTGCAGAACTGCAGCAGGAGAACAGACTGCAGAGAGACACACACACACACACACACACACACACACACACACACACACACACACACACACACACACACACACACACACACACACACACACACACACACACACACACACACACACACACACACACACACACACACACACACACACACACACACACACACACACACACACACACACACACACACACACACACACACACACACACACACACACACACACACACACACACACACACACACACACACACACACACACACACGTCCAGTAAGAGTGTTGAGAAATACAGATGTCTCGTTCCTTTCCCTGACCGAGCAAGTACATGTTCCACTTTGTCGATTGAATCGCAATCGAAAATCGCATTATTGTCCACAATAATCGCAATATCACTTGTTCACCAAATCTTGCAGCCCTATATGACAGTATCAGTTAAAGTATGTATCTTTTTATACATTGACATATAAATAATATATTGCAGAACAATTATTTCTGTTGCTCCAGAGCAGGGGTCGGCAACCCACCATTGGCACGCGGCACCGTAACCAGTGGCACGGGAATAAGTGTGCAAAATATTTAAATAGTATTTTCGGATCCTGAACGAGACCGCCGCCAGAGCGCGTCTCCCCGTTACCTGCAGAGGGAAGCCATGCACGCAACGCAGCCCGGCTCTCTTTAACTCCAGGCGACTTGCTGCTGCTTTCCTCCGTGGTGGAACGATCACGGGTGAAGTAGTGCTGCCGGAGCGCGCCGCACTTCACAAATCGCAGTTCCCATAAGGAGCTGTACAAATGCCCCAGTTTTTGCGTGGCTGTGTCTTTAGTTGAAAGCCCAGTGGCGATCTCATCGAAAGTAATATGCTACACAGGGGCGGACTGGCCATCTGTGTGTTCTGGAGAATCACAGAACCGACGGTCGTCATTATTATCATCATTGTTTTAATGGCACTTCATATCAAAAAGGTTGCCGACCCCTGCTCCAAGTGTGTACACAGCGCTGTGTTGTCACCTGAACAGCGTGGCGTCCAGGTAGCAGGAGTTGAGGTGTCCCTGAATGCCTCTCTTCCAGCCCTCGTAGAGCTCAGCGGCCTCCTCCCCCTCCACAGGGGGGGAGTTGTCCTCCACCCGCTCACTGCCCCACTCTGCAAACGCTGGGAGACAAAATCAATCATTGACCATAGACACACACAGGACACACAGATGTCACGGCTGCAGGAGGAAGTCATTTGATAGTTCCTCTAAAAGTTGTTAGATATTGGAACTGAGATCTCATTATAGTTACTTATTACACATCAGAATCACAATACTTCAAATTGGGTTAAGTAAGAATTACAACTGATTATTGAAATGTAAAATGTGCACATTGTACTACATTATATAATATGTACTACAGTTTATACAGTGGTGTATTAGTAGTAATAAGATATTGATGCCATCCTACCTATAGAGTTGCATCGCTCCACTTGATTGACAGGTGTCTCGGGGGCGGGGAATCTGGAGTCCCGCCTGCAGTTGCGAAGCTTCACAAACAGCCCCTTGTTGGCGGGGCAACGGAAGTGACGTTCACCCAGGTAACTGCCGTCTGTCCCTGCAGACAGATCCTGGTCCTGACACACACACACCCTGATTCATGCATTCATCACATCACGAATCGACTACTGCCACAGCATCCTAGTCTACGGCATACCATCCCACCTCCTCAATAAACTCCAACATATCCAGAACTCTGCTGCCCGCCTCCTCGCCCACACCGGCTCCCGAGACCACATCACTCCCGTCCTCCAGAACCTCCACTGGCTCCCCGTCCGTCAAAGAATCAACTTCAAAGTCCTCCAAATTACTCACAAAGCCCTCAACAATCAGGCCCCCCCCTACCTCACAGACCTGCTGCACCACACACACCCCTTCCCCCTACCTCACAGACCTGCTGCACCACCACACCCCTTCCCCCTACCTCACAGACCTGCTGCACCACCACACCCCTTCCCCCTACCTCACAGACCTGCTGCACCACCACACCCCTTCCCCCTACCTCACAGACCTGCTGCACCACCACACCCCTTCCCCCCTACCTCACAGACCTGCTGCACCACCACAACCCCCTACCTCACAGACCTGCTGCACCACCACACCCCTTCCCCCTACCTCACAGACCTGCTTGCACCACCACACCCCTTCCCCCTACCTCACAGACCTGCTGCACCACCACACCCCTTCCCCCTACCTCACAGACCTGCTGTACCACCACACCCCTTCCCCCCTACCTCACAGACCTGCTGCACCACCACACCCCTTCCCCCTACCTCACAGACCTGCTGTACCACACCACACCCCTTCCCCCTACCTCACATACCTGCTGCACCACCACACCCCCTTCCCCCTACCTCACAGGACCTGCTGCACCACCACACCCCCTTCCCCCTACCTCACAGACCTGCTGCACCACCACACCCCTTCCCCCTACCTCACAGACCTGCTGCACCACCACACCCCTTCCCCCTACCTCACAGACCTGCTGCACCACCCACACCCCTTCCCCCTACCTCACAGACCTGCTGCACCACCACACCCCTTCCCCCTACCTCACAGACCTGCTGCACCACCACACCCCTTCCCCCTACCTCACAGACCTGCGGTACCACCACACCCCTTCCCCCTACCTCACAGACCTGCTGCACCACCACACCCCTTCCCCCTACCTCACAGACCTGCTGCACCACACACCTTACACCTACCTCACATACCTGCTAACCCACCCCTTCCCCCTACCTCACATACCTGCTGCCACCACCACACCCCTTCCCCCTACCTCACAGACCTGCTGCACCACCACACCCCTTCCCCCTACCTCACAGACCTGCTGCACCACCACACCCCTTCCCCCTACCTCACAGACCTGCTGCACCACCACACCCCTTCCCCCTACCTCACAGACCTGCTGCACCACCACCACCCCTCCCCCCTACCTCACAGACCTGCTGCACCACCCACGCCCCTTCCCCCTACCTCACAGACCTGCTGCACCACCACACCCCTTCCCCCTACCTCACAGACCTGCTGCACCACCACACCCCTTCCCCCTACCTCACAGACCTGCTGCACCACCACACCCCTTCCCCCCTACCTCACAGACCTGCTGCACCACCACACCCCTTCCCCCTACCTCACAGACCTGCTGCACCACCACACCCCTTCCCCCTACCTCACAGACCTGCTGCACCACCACACCCCCTCCCCCCTACCTCACAGACCTGCTGCACCACCACACCCCTTCCCCCTACCTCACAGACCTGCTGCACCACCACACCCCTTCCCCTACCTCACATACCTGCTGCACCACCACACCCCTTCCCCCTACCTCACAGACCTGCTGCACCACCACACCCCTTCCCCCTACCTCACAGACCTGCTGCACCACCACACCCCTTCCCCCTACCTCACAGACCTGCTGCACCACCACACCCCCCTTCCCCCTACCTCACAGACCTGCTGCACCACCACACCCCTTCCCTCTACCTCACAGACCTGCTGCACCACCACACCCCTTCCCCCCTACCTCACAGACATGCTGCACCACCACACCCTTCCCCCTACCTCACAGACCTGCTGCACCACCACACCCCTTCCCCCTACCTCACAGACCTGCTGCAACACCACACCCCTTCCCCCTACCTCACATACCTGCTGCACCACCACACCCCTTCCCCCTACCTCACAGACCTGCTGCACCACCACACCCCTTCCCCTACCTCACAGACCTGCTGTACCACCACACCCCTTCCCCCTACCTCACAGACCTGCTGCACCACCACACCCCTTCCCCCTACCTCACAGACCTGCGCACCCACCACACCCCTTCCCCCTACCTCACAGACCTGCTGCACCACACACCCCTTCCCCCTACCTCACAGACCTGCTGCACCACCACACCCCTTCCCCCTACCTCACATACCTGCTGCACCACCACACCCCTTCCCCCTACCTCACAGACCTGCTGCCACCACCACACCCCTTCCCCCTACCTCACAGACCTGCGCACCACCACACCCCTTCCCCCTACCTCACAGACCTGCTGCACCACCACACCCCTTCCCCCTACCTCACAGACCTGCTGCACCACCCACACCCCTTCCCGCTGCCTCCGCTCATCAGAAGCCAACCTACTATCCATCCCTACCCGCACCAATCACCGGACCTGGGGGGACAGAGCCTTCTCCGTCGCTGCCCCCTCCCTCTGGAACTCACTCCCACAACCCATCAGAGACTGCACTGACCTCACCACCTTCAAACACTCACAAAAACTCACCTCTTCAATCTGGCTTTTAATGTGTGATTGTGTTTGTATTATTTGACTTTAACTATATATATTTATTTGTTGTTCTTTTCACTATCTGTAAAGTGTCTTTGAGCACCTGTAAAACGCTAACAAAATAAATCTATTATTATTGTTACTGCTAAGGTTAAAGCAGATGCATAAACTATATCAATTATTCATTACATTTCCAAATAAAAAACATTGCTTTTGTATATTCCTCCCGATATAACCTTTGTCTTCAAACTAAGTAACAGGTGCACACTAGGACAGCGATGTGAGCAAATCTGGACTTCAATAGAATAGTGACTTTTAGAGTTGCAAGTAATTGCATTTTGAGTTTGTACAAATTGATAATAACAAAAATGAGAAGCCATCTTGTAAAAAACCTTTTCCTCTTATTACCAGGAACCAATGTTGAGTAGCAGTTTTCTGATATTCGGATGTACTGATTGTACTCTAAATGAACAACTGAATAAAAACTCACCAGCTCGATCCCTGCCACCGGCTCTCCCACCCCACTGATGCGTCCAATCCAGTGAATGACCCCAAAAAGGGGCGGGTCGTTCACTTCCACCATGGACCCCACCTCCAGCCCCCCGTCGAGCCCCGCCTCTCCATCCTCCTCCACAGCCTCACTGCTGACCGGAGACCTCAGCGAGGGGGAGGGGGGGCCGTGAACGCCGTTGTGATGGGGGTGTTCAGGGGAGGTGTGTGTGGGGGTGTGTGTGGGGGTGTGTGTGGGGGTGAAGGTGGGTGACGTTGGACTGAGGGGTTTGGGAGCGGTCAGAGGGGGAAGAAGCGGCTTGTTGTTGGGTTTTGGGGGCGGTAGTGGAGGAACTTTAACCCCTTGTTTTCCGGGGGGCATCAGGGCGACTTTGGGCGCAGAGTGGGGGGCCGACAGGGGGAGGGGCTTAATGGGGGGGGGCGCCGGCTTCAGGATGGATTTGGTCACTTGGTGAGGAGGGGTGTGATGGTGGGGTTTCGAATCTGGGGATAAAATGGAAGAAGAGTTAGAATTAATTAATATTCTTTTATATTATTTGATTAATTATAATTTTTTATTTATTTATGTTGTTATATATTGTATAATAATTTTTTTTTTTTTACTTTATTCTATCTTTCTTTGCAAATTTTACACTAACCTTTAGTGTTTATCGATATATTGTTGTTGCATTTTATTTTAACGTTAATTGTACATTTTTACTTTAATGTTTTGATTAATATTTTTATAAATATCCAATTTTCCCACCAGTATAAATACATCTCTTTCATGCATACTTTGGGTTAATAATCCAGCAGGCATTATTACAGGATTAAACAAACATGATTAAAGGTCACCTCATGCTATTTTTAGGCAATAGCATAGGTCTCAGATATATCAAAATATATTAAAATCATGTCTATGAAGTGTTTTGCTCAAAATACCAAACAGATCACCCATTCTAGCCATGCCTCATATCCCTCCATTTCACTTCCTGTTTCAAAAGTGCTGATTCGGGGTATAAAGCTTTAAAAAAAATTGATAAATAAAAAAGGAGGGGTCTGAGCTCATGCGGGACCCGGCAGCTACTGTCTAAACTAAATGCTGCCGTGATGAAACGCCATATCATGGATTATCAAGGATTCTCTCTGAAGCAGTTTGGAGCTCAAAAGCTTTCTCTCTTGCCGGTTATACCACAAGGTGAGTTCCTTTTTACTTCCTGCTTCTTCACACACATGCTCTCCAGTACAGGTTAGCTCTGAGTGTTAGCGATGCTAATGTAAACACCGACCATATTACGTCCAAAACAGTCGGGCATTGTTTCTGATAGCAACGTTTCTGATTGGGCCGTGGGTCCACAATTCAGATATTACGTCATATCGGACGCAAATCTGGATCAGCTCCGTTGTTCCCCGTTTTTAGAGATTTGGGTACGGAGGAAAAGAGAGAGGGTTTTATTTTCTGACGCTGCGTGAGTTCCCCGACACACCGGGGACACATGTTTATGTATAAAAGACATCACAAAGTGCATTTAGCATGATAGGTCCCCTTTAAGTAAATGATGGGGTCCTGGTAAAGATACACGGTCATGTCCCAAAGGGAATATATAACCAAAAAAACTCTGAAATGTCTTTATCAAATGTTTTTTTAGATAGTATGCCATATATTCTGCCAAAGCATCCCTGTAAGCCACAGTGAACCTTTCACCTGGTTATACATGGCTGTGGACAAATGCTTTAAACACAATACAGAAGATTCAGGGTTCCCAAGATCAGGCTGAACCGCTACAAGCACTCATTCCTGCCTCTGTCCATTGAGCTTCTTAACATTCACATGTCATGTAATATACTTTTTAAATGTTGGCCATGATATGAGGGGTAGTGCAATAGGTCGCCATTGTCAGTAGGTGTGTCTGTGTATTGTGTTTGTTCAAACGGTGTATGAGTGATGATATGTGTATGTATTTTAATGTTTATTATGTTTGTATATGTACATGTATGCGGAACTGCAGGACGGAGTCCAGAACAAATGTCCTTATGGGGACAATAAAGTATATCATATCGTAATACGAGTGTGTTGTTGTGCAACCGTTGCCGTACCTGAGGAAACCTTGTTGATGGGCACTAATGCTCCGTAGAGCGGAGAGGGAATGTTGCAGAGCTTCTCTCCTTTATAAAGACCGTCCCACTGTCCCACAGGAGCGTCCTGTAACACAGAGACAACCACAACATACTCATCACTATACTGTAGATAGTATGGGGCTCTAATAAGGAATCAGGTAATAAGGGTTCATTAGCAAGTATACATATAGTATTTACATAGTGGCTGCAGCATCAGAGAAAAAAGTGTAATGTGATTAATCAAAAAGAAAATTAAGAAAATGTTTAACCTTAAGGTTTTCTTTTAGTTTGAAAGTAAAGTTTTTTTAGTTTACAGCTTCGTTTTTAATCCTGGATTTTCTTATAATAATTATTGTGAGAATCTTTTCCTTTTATTGGAGTCGTCAGAAGGAAAAGATGGCATTCAATTCGGGAGATGAAATGTAAAAAACTTCAACTGTTTTGTTCTTTTTTGTGTGTTTTTAAAAGTAGCTGCCAATAAGCAAGAATACAACTATAGATAACTTAAAATTATAAATACAAAAAACCACATTTTTTATCTCCTGTGTCGTACTGACCAGCAGAATTCCCACGTACATCCCTGAGGAGGAGCGACCCGGCAGCAGACCACAGAAGCGAACTTCCCCCCCGTAGACGTTGTCCTCTTTGGGGAACATCACCCTCTGGCCCACATGGAGCGGAGGAGGGGATGCAGGGGCTCGGACCTGCACCAGTAAGAAAGATAGATAGATAGATAGATAGATAGATAGATAGATAGATAGATAGATAGATAGATAGATAGATAGATAGATAGATAGATAGATAGATAGATAGATAGATAGATAGATAGATAGATAGATAGATAGATAGATAGATAGATAGATAGATAGATAGATAGATAGATAGATAGATAGATAGATAGATAGATAGATAGATAGATAGATAGATGGATGGATGGATCGATAGATTATTTGCATTGCAGCAGCATAAAAAACACAAGGCAATGTACATAAGAGAAATTAAGACACAGAAATAAACAGTCCAATATATTTCGGAAATATAAATAAAATAGCATTAAAAAGTTAAAAAGTTATAATAGTAATAATAACCTGGTTCTGGTTCTGAGCCGTGATTGGTGCTGACTCTGCTGTCCGAGGGAGGAAACCCACGGGGGGGCTGCTGGGGCGAGGGTGACGACCTTGATGCTGAGGATGCTGCCGCTCGTTGTTGTGTTGCCCGTTGCCGCGTTGCCCGTTGCCGTGGCTGCTGCCGTGGCGGTCTCGCTCCTTGGCTCGCTCCTGAGCGTCCTGCACGTTGTTGCGGGTCCAGGTTCGGATGTGCACGTGGCTGACGGGCAGGAAGAGGGCGCAGGCTTCAGGGCAGCTGAAGAGCCGCTGGTCCTTGAAGGAGCCGTTGCTCGACCCTTTACCGGCGGCTGAGCCCTGCAGAAGAGACGCGCATTTGAAAAAGAGGAATAGTTTCGGCGAAAACTAAAAAGGTACCATGGGGTCAGATTTGAATTTTCCAAAGGGGGGTTCGTTTAGCATGAAACACTTGAAATAACTAAAGGAGACAAACAGGGGAGAGGCTGAAGGAGCTGCTGACAGGTGAACTGACCAATCACAGCCTTTCACCGACATTTAAATAGACTGCATGTTCTATGTAGAGGGAATTGTTTTTATTTGATTGGTATTAAATCCAGTGTTGATATATTAGTTATCATATTATGTCTTATTAATAATGTTGAAGTACTATTTGTAAATTCTTACTTTAATTTATTATGTTTATATTTTAATGTAATGGTTTCATTTGATTACACATTACAACTTCTAATGTTTATGTATTATTACATTACATTACATTGCATTTAGCTGACGCTTTTATCCAAAGCGACTTACAATAAGTGCGTTCGTCCAACAAAATACAAACTAGAAGAAAACAGAATCATATAAGTACATCAGGTTTCATAGAGCAAAAACATTTCAAGTGCTACTCAACTGGCTTTAGGTAAGCCAGTCCTTTATTAGTATAAAAGTGCTTCGTTAATAGTTCTATCGCTCGAAGTGGAGTCGAAAGAGATGAGTTTTCAGTTTGCGCCGGAAGATGTGCAAGCTATCTGCCGTCCTGATGTCAATGGGGAGCTCATTCCACCATCTTGGAGCCAGGACAGCAAACCCACGTGTTTTCGCCGATGGGAACCTGGGTCCCCCTCGCAGCGAGGGCGCAGCGAGTCGTTTGGCTGATGCAGAGCGTAGTGCACGCGCTGGGGTGTACGGTTTAACCATGTCCTGGATGTAGGAAGGGCCAGATCCATTCGCAGCATGGTAAGCAAGTACCAGTGTCTTGAAGTGGATTCTAGCAGTTACCGGAAGCCAGTGAAGGGAGCGGAGGAGCGGAGTGGTGTGGGAGAATTTAGGAAGGTTGAAAACCAGACGAGCCGCTGCATTCTGGGTGAGCTGCAGAGGTCGGATGGCACATGCAGGTAGACCAGCCAGGAGGGAGTTGCAGTAGTCTAGGCGTGAGATGACGAGAGCCTGGACCAGAACCTGAGTCGCTTTCTGAGTCAGCTGGGGACGTATCTTCCTGATATTGTAAAGCGTGTATCTGCAGCAACGGGTTGTAGCAGCGATGTTTGTATTATAAATATTCTATATATTTTATTCTAAAAGGGAGCATTTGTCACCAAAAAAAAGTATTCTGATCCTAATTTTTTTAATATATGGAAACTTTTTTATAGTGTTCTTGTATTATTTTCATATATATTCACATAAGTGAGGCATGCATGTTATCAAGGTTACTGTTTTTAAAATGTCATTGATTTCACTGATTTCACTCTCCACCTAACGTCGTATCAGAGCCGCTTTGCCAAATCCCCCACGGACTGAAATCTTAGGGATTAAAACGTTGATATCAAAGGCGGTGTCACATTCATATCCACGATTCAAGTTTACCTTCAGCTGTACTCCAAAATACACAGCGCTACTCCCCCTTGAGCGCGGCCCGATGTATTTAAGGTCTGCCTCTGCCAGCTCATCCTGTTGGCCGATCTGGACCCAGAGCGGAGAATCAACGGGCAGAGACGCACAAGTCTGCAGCTTCCCAGGATCTCCTAGAAAATACAAATAAAAGGACAACCTTATTACAGATGGAGGGAATAACTGATATGCTAAATATAACATTGAAAAGCTAGTTTTTTAACATCATATACATCCAGTGGCGATCCTAGAGTTTATGTACATATTCCCTATCATGTCTATTTAAGTCCCATTTCTTGTTTTTATATTGTCTTATTGTTTTTATACGGTCTTGTTGTTGCGCGTTGGCACCTTGAGTTCAGATTGTAATTTCGTTGTACTTGTACAATGACAAATTAAAGATCTTATCTGAACATCATATACATCCAGTGGCGATCCTAGAGTCGTTGGGGGCCCTAGGCAAACTGGGGGCCCCTCGAACCAGCTTTTCATCACCACGCACAGCCGACAGCACCCCCCCCCCCCCCCTCCCGGAGCGGAGCAAGGCAACGAAACTTAAGCAGCATTTTACAGCGCGCTATGCATGGGGCCGCCTTGAGGGGGTTACCCGTCATGTCGTTGCAGTAAATTAAAGGGTGTTTCATGTTGTCGTTGCTGTGGACCTTTTTAAACTACCTTCTTTGGGGGCCCCCTTCTGGTCCGGGGCCCCATGCAGTTGACTGCCTTGCCTGTTCGCAAGCAGCGCCCCTGTATACAGGGTTTTAGTTGTACTCTTCTCATTGAAATGAGGGTCAATAAGACTTCATTAGCACAAAATCAAACCTAATTTCTGAGTTACATTGGAATACAATCAAAAACCCAATGATAGTGTTCTAATACATTGTGTGGAAAAATGTAGTTTACAAATACAAACATATTTTGTATCTGTCATTAACATAAAAGAAACCTTTATCCCGACAAAAGACATTTGGGAACGGGTCAAATTTGAGCCAAGGACAACAGGAAGGTTGTCAAAAAAGTGTTACAATTGTTTGGTAAAAGAACATAGTGTTTTTAACACAATGTTCTTTTACCAACCAATTGTAACACTTTAAGGATTGTTACTTCTGCAATATTTGTACTTCCACTATCATCACTGCTAGTTAGTATTAAATGCATTACTTAGAAGCTTTAGTCGGGCCTCAGGATCAGAAACAGCCTCCAACAGGCCGCTGAGGTCGGACGGGACTTCCAGCAGGAACTTCTTCTCTATTTTCAACATTAAGTCATTGTCTAACACCTGTGGTGAGAAACAGGAGGCAGAGAGAAAGACAAATATGAGCTAGTGGAAAGAAATCAACAGTGAGTGTGAAGGAACCACAGGGTACCACACTCAGGAAGTGAGATGAAGTTTAAAAAGGGTGACTCAACAACATGTGCTGCTCATACCTTAATCTAAAATGCAGCACAGACACATTCTAAGATTAAAATGAATTGAAATAAGTAGTAGGTTGGTGTAGTGCTGCTCAATTAATCGTATTTTAATCGCAATTACGATTTTGGCTTGCAACGATTATGAAAACAACATAATCGATATAAAACGATTATTTATTCATTTTAATTCAAGGTTGTGTCTTCCTGGTCGAATGTACTTATTGTAACGGCCCGTCCACACAGCGGCGTGCGTTGAAGCTTCCAACGCTTCTGCCCATTCACTTTGAATGGGGTGACGTCACTTTTAGCCGAACTGCATCGTGGGAAGCGACGCGGAGCTTTGCTGGCGTGGCTCGCTTCAAAAGTTGAGCAATGTTCAACTTTTGACGCCTCGGCAGAAGTGTCAGCCAATCGAATCATATGCCAGTACAAGCTCTAGCCAATCAAACCGCTGCTTGTGTGTCAGGGGCGGGAGATTCATGTGATTGGTTGTTGGTCGAGTGTCAGACACGCCCACCGGCAAGCGTCAACGCACGCCGCTGTGTGGACGGGCCGTAAGTCGCTTTGGATAAAAGCGTCAGCTAAATGCAATGTAATGTAATTAATTAATTATTATTATAATTTCTTGGTTTTTCAGTTGAATTATACTTAAAGTTCAGGGTAATGTAAATGGATAATCGTTTTTAATAAATCGTGATATTAATTATTGACCCAAATAATCGAGATTATGATTATTGCCATAATCGAGCAGCCCTAGGTTGGTGTTGAACTGCCCGTCCTCTCTCACCTTAAACCGCCTTTTACATCAAGAAAGGTGAGAAATGATTTTATCTTGTATGACATCAAACTGAGTTTCGGTGTTTTTTTTAAGTATCTGTGTCGATATGATTCAAGGTGGACAAATGAAAGAGCTAGTTAAACTCAAGCCACCACATGATAGAAAATATTCAATTAAATAAACAAATCAATATAAAATAAATACACACACCTATCATGATAAACACATATATAAAAAAGTATACATTATAAAAAGTATACAAATATATAATTGAATTGGGTATATAGAGTGGACAGAATGTAATTATATTGTCTTGATAAAAAGGAGAAGTTACAGTAGTATGGGCTGGTTTGCTATAGCTTGCATAATTAGCTAACTTAATAATACATGCATACAATATGAGATCAAGTTTATTTGATGCATGCAAATATAAAGGCTTACTGGGTAAACTATTCATGTTTTCTTTACTTTCTTACACTTATGTCCATTGTAATTGATAGTCTGTCTTTTAAGCATAATATGCTTAACACACATATGCCATATGTGTGTTTATTATACCTTGACCCAGTAGCTGTCGCCTCTGCTCCGGCCCGCCTCTTGCTCCTGGCAGATGAACCCCCGCAGCAGCTTAATGGTTCCGTCCACCTGGTCCTGAACCTTCAGGTCGGTCGAGATCAAGAACATTTTTGGGGGGCGTCGCTTCCTGGTTTGCTCATGAGCCCCTGACATCTTCTGCGTGTCTTTTTCTATAGCTGGGTTCACGAAGGAATTAAGTCCATTATATAACCTGTAAGATGAATCAAGAGTAGTTTTAAAACCACGACAAGCAGGGTGGAAATGCGAGTTCACCTTCGACAGGTAACTTTAAACTTACTTCATTCAAAAGGAGGTCCATTTTTTAAAACAAACTATATCGCCACTACATTTTCGACGGACAAATCACGTAGTTAACTTTGTTTGAAAAATATGAAGGCTTTTATAAAACACTCACCAACTTCATCAACTCTGAACGTCAATATAGTTCCCTTCACATTTAAAGGAGCTACGCTTCAATAACAACAAACCGCACCGTGAAGCCGGAAGCAGCGTGACAGTCACCAGCGGGAGCCAATAGGAAGTGAGAAAAGTTCACCAGGCGAGTTGTTTGAGCCAATCAGAGCGCACGTGGGCGTTTCCGAGACTGCGGGAAATTCCACAGTTCTTCACACGCTATGTAGTATTTATGCAAAAATATGATGTTTTTGAGAAAATGTCACATTAAATAGAAGACATGGACTGACTCTAAACCAAATATTCTCCTTTCTAACTTAGAATTATAACAATATGTATATTATAATATATATTTCTGTTTATGTGTACCCCCTGATGTCAATGTGTTGTGTGTATATGTTTGATGTACATATTGTTCTTGAATAGAGAAAAATCTGATATACACAGACAGAATATAGCTGTATCTTCTTTATTAGTTTATAAATAAAATAGAAAAATATTTCTCTATAATGAACATACTTTTTTTCTTGCATTCACACTTCCACATCATCCCTCACAGAAATACATACTCAAAAGAAAAGGATAAATATTCAATCAACACTTGGATTGTAATGCAGAACTACCTTTAAAAAAAGACAACATATAGGACAACATACATAAAAGTGCAATATCAAATGTGCTTTATCAGACTTGTCATGGCACATCTGTATACCAGGATGCTGAAGTGTTAGCTTAATGTGTTAGTTGTGGGCAGTAGTGAATATAAAACGATTCTTATTTAAATCAACATGGTTGCAGCACAGCTCTCCGTCTCCAGCAGTGAGCGATCGTACCGTTAACCAGTGGCTCCTTACTTTATGTGGATCGTGACACCTTTAGTAAACAATGTGTACTTGTAAATGTGTATGGGGTGCGAGAGCTTGAGTGAGATGAGTCATTTTCATTGGTTAACCTATCCATGGTTTCACATAAAAGCATAGATCACTGTGAATAATCTCGTAACCAACCATACTGGAAGATGGGAACCTGTGGAAACACCAATGAGTATCACATGACTCTTCAAAGTACACACATTGTTTAACCCCATTTTTCCTACATTTAAAGACACTTCTGTAACATTTTTTAAATGCCGTTTCGTTACACAATGGAGTGAAAACATGTAAATAAGTTCAAATAAAACAATTATATTGATATATATATATGCGTATTTGAGGCATAAACTACCTTTCATATCCTTCATTAAACAACTGTAATCTTTGGTACATCTATCTTTTGTCCCCAATAAATGAAAGGTACATGAACACTGTTGGATAGTGCATGTATTTCAGAAGTGTTAAATGTACCAAAACGATCATTTCAGATGATATGTTCTCAGAATAATACAGTGTAAGCAACATGATGTTATTAAACGATCCTTGAGGAGAAAACTCTGCTTTCAGTTTCCAGTTCTTCATTTAAATCGGTCCAGATTTTATTTGGTGTCTCATCCAGAAGACGAAGGCAGCTTCTTAAAGTCAGTGCGAAGTGTGTGATGGTCACAGGAAGGTAATAGTTAATGAAATCAAACATTAGCTGCTAAAGTTTGGACCCCAGGTCTGAGTGATTAGTCTGTTCAGCATCTCCACAGCTCAGTACTGAGGGAGCGAATGGTCCTTGTTGATGAAGTAGGTGGTGAGTTCCCCTTTGCCCTTCACGTTGACGACGCCTCTCAGAGTGACGTTGTATCCCACGCTCTCCACCATCTGGGCCGTCTCCTCCGTCACCTGGAAGCAGACGGAAAAGGAGAAAAAACATAATGTGTGAGTGTTTAAAAAGCATACATGTTTCCCTCTTAAAGAATCTTAAACACACATTACTTTCAGCATTTAGCGCTCATTCCTTTTAGCATTTTAGCACCAAAGGATTTCCTTGCCTGGATGTTTTTTCTAATTGTTTTTGTTAGTTGCCTGATTCAACACAAGCTTACAAGATGTTCACGTCTTGTTCCACGACATAAAATCACTACCCACTGGTAAATGTCTGAAGCTTTTACACATCTTAAAAAAGCCTGTTGCTAACAAGACGTCAAACATTAGCACCTTTAGCTTAGCGGTGGTGATGTGAAGTCATATGATTGTCATGTAGTTCCTTTATACCCTAACTTCCGACAGTGCTTACAAAAATACTTCACAGGTGCTCCACCCTATCTGCCACCTCCACCTTCTCCTGCTGTGTCTTTATTTCTCTGACCTGTATCTTGTCCAGAACTCCGGTGCTGTCCATCCGGCTGGCCACGTTCACAGAGTTCCCCCAGATATCATACTGAGGTTTATGAGCTCCGATCACTCCTGCGATCACTGGACCGTGGTTTATTCCTGCAGGTATAAAAACATGAAGGATCCTTACATTTTCATTAACATAAAAACATATCTTTGTGTTTTTAAAAATGTCCTCCTTGGAGCTGTTATTCTAGTCTAGAAATATTTTTTGTGATTTCTTTGCTATTGTAATTTTTTCTTTATTTTATCGCAATGTGTACCTTTTATTTGTACAGTTTAAAGATGCAAGTTAATAAGTCAATTAACTGAAAACTAATAGCCAACTACTTTGATAATTGAGTCATATCTGAAGTTACTTTTTTTACCCTTTCAAATATGGAGATTTCATGGGAAACTGCAATAGACATTTTTACACGTGTTCTGAAAATATATGTGGGCTGAACATTCCATGACAAAAAGATTCGTAAAAACCAAAATACTTGTGTTCAAATTATATTAGGGAAATAATGGGGAAGAAAACCCAGCGTTATGTTTTGTCTCAAGTTTATGAAATGTTATGTTTGTGTCCGTTTTGACCTAATGGTGACTCACCAATCCTGAGTTTGAAGCTGTTGAAAGCGTGTGTGTTGATGAACTCTAGTTTGTTCATCAGAGCGATGGCAAACTCCACCATGGTGCGCACATGGCTGTAGGACATCTCCACTTTCTGTAGGGGGCGCCAGAGACCATGTTTATAGAGAGCAGGGTGGCTAAGAGTTTGATTTTAAAACATAGACGTTATTAAAGATATCTGTAGCTGTAGTGAACGAACCTTTTCCTCATCGCTGAGTGGAGCGTGCCTCAGCCCCGCGGCGGCCATGTACGTACTGCCGATGGTCTTTATCTTCTCCACTGAGCAGAATTTGGGCTTAGAGAGAAGCTGGAAACAAAAGAGTGCAGTTAAGGACACAGACCTTATGTGACACGGGGAATGTTTAATCTTCTTCCTCATAGCCTACCTCATCAAAGTCCGATATGATCTCGTTGAGGAAGCGCATACACTCCAGCCCGTCCCTGTTGGCACTGCTCTCGCTGTAGAACTCTTTAAACTGAGGCACCGAGGCGAACATCACACACACACAGTCGTAGGACTGACTGTACAGGTCCTGAAACACACATTTTAAATGAAAAAGGACGTAGTTACAACATAACAGGCATTTGAAACCATCAACTCAGTGTCATTTCTAAGTGTTAATGATTTTCTAAATGGTGGATTTCTACTTTCAATTTCAATCTAATATGAAACTCTGCATACAGTAAAACATCTAAATAAAAGCTCTTAATGTCTCCTTGGAAAAAGCTTTTTAAATATATAATAAATACAAAAATATATTAATATTTATATGAACATAAAAATACGTGAGAATGTAAAATAAAGAAATAAAAAAAATAGATGTATATTAGAAACTAAATAAATAAAAACTTTGATAAAAGCTGAAATATTAATATAAATTTAAGATGCTGTGTTAGAATATATACAGTGCTGTATTCGCTAAACTGGCATAGCTAACCAGAGAACAACACTGGCAGATGACGGGTATTTATTACCTGGTTGCGGATATTTTTGCCAATGAAGTAGGAGGCGACGTGGAGCGGCAGCACGTTCTGAAGGAGCAGCTTGTTGACGTTCTCCATCGTCTCCATCTCCTCCCTCTCCGTCTTGAAGCAGTGGTCCAACAGGAAGTCTACCCGGCAACTCAGCTCGTCCTGACAGAGAAACAACAAATATCCAATGTGGATATAGATTGATTTCTTTTGTGAAATTAAATGACAAAAACACACACATACATACCTGTCTGGCCAGTATGAGGCACACGATGTAAAAGATGACCAGCCAAACCCCGGACATGATCTGAGGGTCCTTCAAGATTCCCGGCCTGTAGAAAGACACGTTTTTAGACTCACACATAATCTGGTATACTTCACAATCGTCACTCATTTTTCTTCTTCCATTACATAATAATAATAATAATAATAATAATAATACATAAGATTTATATAGCGCTTTTCCTGGTGCTCAAAGCGCTTTACAAGCAAGTAAAATTTCACAAAAGTGAAAAGTGCTAAACTAGGTGGAAAGAGGGATTATTGGATTAGGAGTTGAGTGAAAAGGTGAGTTTTGAGGGATCGTTTGAATGATGTGAGAGTGTCTTAACATAATACAATGACCTAATACAGTGTCTTGTGTCTCAGTTAGTGTGGCCTGTACCCCTGCGAAGGCCTCTCGCTACAGAAAGCTCTTGAATAATTGACGGTGATCTGAAACTCCAGATAAGGATTCACAATCTGGACTGAGAGTGTTGGACAAAAGGCGGGACATCTAACACCAGCAAGGAGGACAAAGTGAGGACTTTAGGTCTGTGAGTGAATGTGCACGAGTGGACTTTACTGAGACTCTGTGTGCACAGCTAGCAGGCTGAAGCACTTAATAATCCTGCCTGCACACAGACATGCATTTTATTAATCTAGTTACACAGAATCATCAAAATAAAGAATATTAAGTGCTGTACTTTACCAAATAACTAAACAATAGTACTTGAAGCTGTTTAATCTAACTTTAAACGTAGCTTTTCTTCACTTACTGTATGATATTTGTGCTTTTATTGTGTTATATTGTACATCTTCACCCACTGACTTTCAATTTCAATCATTTGTTTATTGGGTTTTTTCACCAGCATACAGTTATCTATCAGAGCATGTATCAAAAGTAGGGTTAGGGTCCAGTGTTGGAACCCCTCCAAAATGCAAAAGATTAATCAGGAATGAATGGGAACTTAACACATTTGAAAAAGGGCCCCATATTTCCCCAAATGCATTTGAGGAGCCACTCAGAGAAAACCTAATCTGCAGCTGTCGTCCTTATTATTCTGCTGCTGCGTGACTCACTTGGTGCCGTTGTTGTAGAGCATGTCGATGAGGCAGTGTGACCTCGGGGCGTAGACGTGGAGGAAGAGCGCCAGATAAACCACCACGGCCAGCGTGAGCAGCAGCGCCTTCACAGACAGGCACGTCCGCACGAACACGATCACTCCCAGCATGGCCAGCAAGCAGCAGTACAGGTAATACTGCATGTTTCAGGAGAGGAGGAGGAATGTGTGTTATGACAAACGAGTCGTGACGTTCAGTGACTGTACTGAAGCTCTAAAGAAACATACTCTAACTATCAGTGACTGTACTGAAGCTCTAAAGAAACACACTCTTACTATCAGTGACTGAACTGAAGCTCTACAGAAACATACTCTTACTATCAGTGACTGAACTGAAGCTCTAAAGAAACATACTCTAACTATCAGTGACTGAACTGAAGCTCTACAGAAACATACTCTAACTATCAGTGACTGACATGAAGCTCTAATGAAACATACTCTAACTATCAGTATGACTGAACTGAAGCTCCACAGACATACTCTAACTATCGTGACTGAACTGGAAGCTCTACAGAAACATACTCTAACTATCAGTGACTGAACTGAAGCTCTATAGAAACATACTCTAACTATCAGTGACTGAACTGAAGCTCTACAGAAAATACTCTAACTATCAGTGACTGAACTGAAGCTCTAACGAAACATACTCTAACTATCAGTGACTTGAACTGAAGCTCTACAGAAACAACTCTAACTATCAGTGACTGACTAACTGACAGCTCTACAGAAACATACTCTAACTATCAGTGACTGAACTGAAGCTCTACAGAAACATACTCTAACTATCAGTGGACTGAACTGAAGCTCTATAGAAACATACTCTAACATCAGTGACTGAACTGAAGCTCTATAGAAAACATAACTCTAACTATCAGTGACTGAACTGAAGCTCTACAGAAACATACTCTAACTATCAGTGACTGAACTGAAGCTCTAAAGAAACATACTCTAACTATCAGTGACTGAACTGAAGCTCTACAGAAACATACTCTAACTATCAGTGACTGAACTGAAGCTCTAAAGAAACATACTCTAACTATCAGTGACTGAACTGAAGCTCTACAGAAACATACTCTAACTATCAGTGACTGAACTGAAGCTCTAAAGAAACATACTCTAACTATCAGTGACTGAACTGAAGCTCTACAGAAACATACTCTAACTATCAGTGACTGAACTGAAGCTCAACAGAAACATACTCTAACTATTCAGTGACTGAACTGAAGCTCCTACAGAAACATTACTCTAACATATCAGTGACTGAACTGGAAGCTCCTACAGAAACCGTACTCTAACTATCCAGTGCCTGAACTGAAGCATCTACTAAACATACTCTAACTATCAGTGACTGAACTGAAGCTCCTACTAGAAACATACTCTAACATACAGTGACTGAAATTGAAGCTCCTACAGAAACATACTTCTAATATCAGTGACTGAATCTGAAGCTCTTACAGAACATTACTCTTAACTATCAGTGACGAACTTGAAGCTCTACTAGAAACATACTTCTAACTATCAGTGCCACCCATGAACTGAAGCTCCTACTAGAAACATACTCTAACTATCAGGCTTGTGACTGAACTGAACGGCCTCTTACAGAAACATACCTCTAACTATCAAGTGACTGAACTGAAGCTCCTACTAGAAAACATACTCTAACTAATCAGTGACTGAACTGAAGACTCTCACAGAAACATACATCTAACTATCAGTGATGAACTGAAGCTCTATAAGAAACATACTCTAACTATCAGTGACTGAACTGAAGCTCTATAGAAACATACTCTAACTATCAGTGACTGAACTGAAGCTCTACAGAAACATACTCTAACTATCAGTGACTGAACTGAAGCTCCACAGAAACATACTCTAACTATCAGTGACTGAACTGAAGCTCTAAAGAAACATACTCTAACTATCAGTGACTGAACTGAAGCTCTATAGAAACATACTCTAACTATCAGTGACTGAACTGAAGCTCACAGAAACATACTCTAACTATCAGTGACTGAACTGAAGCTCTAAGAAACATACTCTAACTATCAGTGACTGAACTGAAGCTCTAAAGAAAACATACTCTAACTATCAGTGACTGAACTGAAGCTCTAGAAACATACTCTAACTATCAGTGACGACTGAACTGAAGCTCCACAGAAACATACTCTAACTATCAGTGACTGAACTGAAGCTCTACAGAAACATACTCTAACTATCAGTGACTGAACTGAAGCTCCACAGAAACATACTCTAACTATCAGTGACTGAACTGAAGCTCTAAAGAAACATACTCTAACTATCAGTGACTGAACTGAAGCTCTACAGAAAACATACTCTAACATCAGTGACTGAACTGAAGCTCTACAGAAACATACTCTAACTATCAGTGACTGAACTGAAGCTCTAAAGAAACATACTCTAACTATCAGTGACTGAACTGAAGCTCTACAGAAACATACTCTAACTATCAGTGACTGAACTGAAGCTCTAAGAAAAACTCTATAACTATCAGTGACTGAACTGAAGCTCTAAGAAACATACTCTAACTATCAGTGACTGAACTGAAGCTACAGAAACATACTCTAACTATCAGTGACTGAACTGAAGCTCTATAGACATACTCTAACTATCAGTGACTGAACTGAAGCTCTACAGAAACATACTCTAACTATCAGTGACTGAACTGAAGCTCTACAGAAAACATACTCTAACTATCAGTGACTGAACTGAAGCTCTAAAGAAACATACTCTAACTATCAGTGA